GGTTTAGTCCTTCCAGTGGGTGATGGCTATTATATTTAACCCTTTCATCTCTTGTGAGCAGTGGCCAGAATTAGCATGTATAAACTAGAGTACAATGGTTCTATGCAGAAGAGAGGAAGGAAGTGCTCATTAGAAAGTGATCATGTCAGAAGCACGGGTGAGCTCTCTGATCTCTCTCTCTGTTTAGGTGATGACATTTGCTGTTGCTTCTGCAGACTCGCCCATCACAAAGGAGTGAACCTGACGGATGTCCAGGTGAATGATACGCAAGAGTTTGTTCAGATTGTGCCCAACCAGAAGAGCAGCATTGAAGACGTGTGGCAGGTCAGGTGGGTGACGGAGCTGGGGAGAGCAGGACTGGCATTGGGGGGACTGAACAGAAGGGCCCTTCACTGCTATATTGTCTGAGAACAAATCTCCATGTTTCTGGAGGTGACTGCCAGGCTCTGCACAGCTGGCATCGACTCTGATCAGCAAACATGGAGGGAGGGAGAAAATCTGAGCTGGCAACTAAATGACGCCAAATGGGAACACACATAGCCCAGCGACTGCACTGGCAGGAGACACAACTGCCGGGAGGGTCACAGTGTTCGGTGCGTCGGTCATGCCGCTAAAATAGGACTGCAGCCAGCTTGATGCTTACCCAGCGGGGATGTCTGCACTGCACTCAGCACGTGTGGGCATATCCGAGCTAGCTTTGATCTAGCTAGTGCGAGTACCTATAGCAGCAAAGCTTTGGCAGCGCGGACTTCAGCACAGACTAGCCAGCAGAATAATGACCCTGGGTCCCAGACGGGCTTGCACAGTCTGTGTTTCACGGCTAATGGTTCCTGAGCTAGGCACTGGGGTATGTCTACACATGCTGCAATCACACCTCTGATTGCAGAGCAGAGATACCCTCAGTGCCAACAGGGTAGCTGACTTCCCGACCTTCAGGCAGGCCCGTTAGCCCTCTTAGAATAACTCTGCTTTGCGGCCGCAGCAACACAACCAGGGTCGTTGCACATGTGAGCGTTCTGCCCCGCACCAGCTCGTGTTTGCAAAGTGCTGGGAAGGTGAAAAGCCTTCTGTGGGCGCGATGATTATTCCTATCAGAATCCACTTTCTGGGCCTCCTGGGTGCATCTGGCCAGTCGCCATTCCTAGGGGAGCTGCCATAGAACCCCGTGATGGGCCATCTCTGTGTTTCCTGGCTGCAGAGTTCTGGGAGAGCTTTATTTCGAACCCTGATTTTATTCTTGTGCAGGAGCAGCTGTGCTTCAGGGCGAATTGTGGCTCTGAAGTGCTCCGGTAAGTGCTTTACCCTGTCCTCACATTGCACTGGGGTCTCTTGCATTCCTTGTGCTATTATAGACCCTCTGTTAATTAGCAAAAGCCCCAGGTCGGCTAGACACAGAGCGCCCTGCCCTCAGCATAGCCCTGGTGTTTCTTTGCAAAGCCTGTGTCATTCTTCCCTCATCCAGCAGCCCCAGTGTCAGTGGTCTGCAAGCAGCAGCGTTACTAAGTGAGGCAGCTCCAGCCCTCTTGAGCAACCCTGCAGTAACAAGCCAGCACAAACCAGCTGGTCTGGGTGGGGGGAAAATTTAGCTTCCCAGCCGGCTGAGTAGCAAAAAAAAAAAGGTGGTTGTGAAGCCGCTGGAGCAGCCCCTTTGTCCGTGTGATTTCATAGCTGGGGTCTGTTTGCAGCGTCAGCA